AGCTTTGCAATCAGTCATTTAATTAACAAGTATTTATTAAGCACCTACTGTGTGCCAGTCATTGGGTTAGATGCTAGATAAAGAATGAAACTGCCCCTACCCTCAAGGTGCTTCCATTCTAGCAGGGGAAATAAGTATAAATACAGTATATGCAGAATAAATTAGAGGTAGTTAGAGAAGGAGGGTATAAACAGTTCATACATCCAGAGCCTCAGAGGTCATTAGTCCAAGCCCCTCATCTCTGTGATGAGCCCTAGAGACCTGAAGTGACTTTACCAAGATCACCCAAGTAGCAAGGCAGCAATTATGGAATCAGAAAGGGCTTCCTGTAGGAGGAGATGATTGAGCCTTGTTGGAAGAAGTGAGGGGCTCTCTGAGGCAGAAGCCAGGAGGGAGGGAGGGCATTCGAGGCATGGGCAACAGAACTATGCATACTATGCACTTTGTAAATGTTAGGGCAATTGACTCGAATTGAACTCGCCTCCTTCAGTTCCTAACTCTGCTAGGACTCCCTCTGCTCCCCCTTTCCTTTCCCTCCCTCTGGGCTTGTCAGGTCTTCTTGGCCAGCATGATGTACATAGGGAATGAGGGGCAGGTGGTAGATTCTCAGGCATGATATGCACGAGGAACGGGGAATCTGGCATGTGCCAGATTCTCACACTCCAGGTGAGATGCAGCAGCACCTGGGCCAGCACCCACACCCATCCCGTGGTAGGGTCAGCGTGTGGCCCGGGAGCATCCCCCACACCCAAGAATTGCTCAGCCAGCATCTTTGGGCAGGATCAGAACAGAGGGGACCAAGTTTGTCTTGATTATCCCTTCCTTCTCCCTCTCTACATCCCCTCCCTCAGGCATCCGAGGCCAACCTGTCAGAAGAAAAACCTCTGGTATTTGGGACAGAAAGCAAGTCACAATGGAAGAGCACTAGGCGTAGGAGTTCTGAAAACCTGAGTTTTAATCCAGACTCTTCCATTTACTAACAGTGTGACCATGGAGAAGTCATTTCCCCTCTTTGGACCTCAGTTTCCTTATTTGTAAAATGAAGGGGGTAAGACTAGATGAAATTCTAAATTAGGACATTTACCATGTGCTACTCTGCCTAGGAGTATTTTCTTAAAAAATAAAATCTTGGAGAAAAAAATATCCACCACAAAGGAACAAATCTCTATGTCTCTAATTGTAGAATTTTATCTGGGGGAGTAACAAAAATAATGATTAGTGCTCTCTTTCTCCTCCAATTGTCCTGTATTTACTTATCTACTTTGTGTCCCCCACAGGTGAATGTAAACTTCTTGAAGGCAGGGGCTGTGTAGTTTCTGGTCTTTCAGTTACCAGTGCCTTGTACATAACAAGCTATCAGTTCTGACCCATCCTGTATAATATTCAAGTCAAGTGATTCTTTGAGGTCTGAGTTTCCTTAAAATCAGGGCTGACCACAGGAATGTGCTAATAAAGGGCAGATAGGTGGTGTAGTGGACAGGCGGCCGAGCCTGCTGTCAGGAAGACCAGAATTCAAATCCAGTCTCAGACACTTACCAGCTATGTGGTCTGGGAAAGTCATTTAACCTATTTGCCTCACTTTCCTTATCCGTAAAATGGGGATAATAATATCTACCTCCCAGAGTTGTTGTGAGGATCAAATGAGATCATATTTGTAAAGTGTTTAGTTCAGTGCCTGGCACATAGTAGGTGCCCTATAAGTGTTAGTGATGATGATGATGACCCTCAGCCTAGTATTCAAAAGTCCCCTACAATCTAGGTCCCAGCTATCCTTCTATCATGGCATATCACCCCTAAAACCCCTCCCTGAACTCAACAGACCAGTTAAAGAAGGCTTCTAGTTATTTTCTATATAAAATGGCTACCCCCAATGTTCTATTTCTTGGCTCTGTGACTTTGCACTCTGCCCCTCATGCCTAGAATGTACACTTTCTTCCTATCTTCCATCACAGAATTCTCTCAAAGCACAGTTTAAGTGAAACCTGATTCCCTTTCCTGATCCTCCCCCACCCCAGTTGCTAGGCTCTCTCCTTGACATTTGTTATCATTATTGTTTAATCTGTATTTATTTTGAATATTCTATGTACTCGCTATTTGTGTTCAAATTGTATCCCCCTAGTAGAAGAGTATAAGCATCCTAAAGGCAGGGACTGCTTTGGTTTTTGTCTTTGTATCCTTAATGCATACAACAGGCACTTAATAAATTCTATTGAATAGTTCCTATGTCTCTAATGCTTTAAGATTTTCATCTTCTACAGTGTGGGGGAGGTATCCCTGCAGGTGTTATCATCTTTTTACTGATAATGAAACTTAGGCTCTAGGAGACTGAGACTTGCTTAGGGTCACTCAGCTACTAGGGTCAGAAACAGGGCTCAAACCCAGGCCTTTTGACCCTTTTACCTTCCGGCTTCCACTAAGCCTACAGAGGAGAGATCTTAGGGTGGAGGTTCCTTGATGCCCCATATTGGCCATAATGCTAGTGATTATTATCAGTGCAGTGAGCGACCTGGATGGAGAGTGGCGCTACCAGACTAGCCTGGTGCAGCTGCCTCGTTGTGGTTCTATCTCTTTCCACCCGGTGGCAGCAGTGCCCAGTTAAATGCCAAGCCCTTCCCGTGCCATTTTCTAGTGATATTCAAAGAGCTCAAAGTGGTCCCTCCTAACTCTCAGCTTGTGGAGGCTTAGAGGGGAAATGCTTTCAATTAAGGATCCATGAGCACTGATGGGGAGGGATTGGGTCAGAAAAGACTTTCATAGGGTACTGACAACTAGGCAGGGTTTGGACTTTGGAAGCCAAGTATACTTAGCTCTGTGCGTGACTTGTCCAGACCATTTTGTCTGTGGCCTTGCCCAGGTTCCTCTCCCAGCCTAGATGTCTGTCTCTGACTCTTCCATGACCTGGTCAATTAACCCTCTCCAAGCAGCTTTCCATAATTGCCCCCTAGCCCACTCTACATTTCTTTAGCATTTCTGGCCATCCAGGAAATGAAATGGGGTGAACCTCAGGCAAGTGATTTATGTCTTTGAGCCAATTTCCTCATTTGCATGATAAGGGGGTCAAATTAGATCAGCAATTCTCAAAGTTGACCTTTGTTAGACTCTTGATACGGGCAGGTTTTTTGCTTTGGAAGTTATTTTTAATTAAAAATTAATGGATTTTTAAATTTTTAGATGAATTCTTTTTTAAATTTGCTTTAATTTCTTATATGGTATATATAACTAGATATAACCCAAATAAACTAAAGATCTTTGGCTTCCTCAATAATTAATAGTGTAAAGGCCAGCTAGGTAGTGTAGTGGATAGAGGGCTGGGTCTGAGTCAGGAAGACTCACCTTCCTGAGTTAAAATCTGGCCTCACCAGCTTACTAGCTGTGTGACCTTGGGCAAGTCACTTCACCCTGTTTGCTTCAGTTTCCTCATTTGTAAAATGAGCTAGAGAAGGATACGGAAAATCACTCCAGTATCTATGCCAAGAAAACCCCAAATGGGTCATAAAGAGTCAGACATGGCTGAACAAGAAGTGTAATGGGAATCCTGAGACCAAAAATTTTGAGAATGGCTGAATAGATGATCTTTAAGGTTCCTGTGGTTCTGATGTCTGTGTTCTCAGAATTCTCCCAGATCTTCCATTTTATGTGTTCTAAAGTCCCTAATTGTTATGATGTATTCACTAAGCCCCCTCTTGGCTCTGACATTCTCATTCTAAGATTTTATACCCCTGAAATGACACACTATAAACTGGCTACAAGAGGCTAGATAGGGAACACTGACCGCCTTCCCCTTTGCAAGCCCAGCTCTTTCCAACATTGTTAAATGTCTGTCTCTGGGAACCCCTGGTCCCCTCCCCTCTTCCACAGTACAACCACCAAGCACTAAGGACACCACACACATAAAAATATAGAATGATTTTTATCGTATTTTAGTTAAAAAAAATAACTGTTCCACTGAATGAAGTAGTTTTTTTTAAGGGGAGAACAAATCCAAAAGCAAAAAAAAAATTATTTTATAGTCATCTGTACAAAGACATCCGCTAAGGAAACACCACCGGGGATCCCGGTTCCTGCTTCATTAGTATCTCTGATTTCTGCAGATTATTTATACCAAAATAAAACCTCTGAAAGTTCAACAGTGAGCTTTGCATGATCTTCTGAGAGTTACTAAAATAAAGGGTATTGAGTCTAGAAAGCAGTGACATCGTCACGAGAAACACAGAGAGGTTGCATAATTTCAGTGGCATAGTGGGCTGGTTTGTCTGTTTCAGCTGGGCGACTGACGACTGGTCACAGCATTAAGAAATCACATTGACAGAAAACACAACATCATCTCAGGAAACAAGGCCACCACTGGTTGTCGCTCAGGCCGTGAGGTCTGGGGGGAATCACAGAGCAGCCAGGCCCGAGGTTCTCATGCTTCCCTAGCCTGGCGCACACAATAAGACTATCACCAAAATCAACCTGGCAAGACGGTGAATGATGTCCAGTTGGACACTGCACCACATGTTTGTGTGAATGGAGGGACAGACGAATGATTGGGTGGGGGTCTGAACTGTGAAAGGAGAATGGGCAGAACCCAGGGGCTGAAGCAGACCCTTTGGCTCTTCAATGTCACAGTGCATGCAAATACACCTAAAAGCACTTTTTGGATGCTGCCTGGAGAATTGTGATACTTCTATTTTTCTTCTTCCTTCTTTGGGGACTGGTCCATTCCTCCTGGTATCAATCCCCCCCCCCCGCCCCAATTTCCTTCACCCAGCCCATAACTTCCCCTGACTTGTTTATTAAGCCTTCCAGGATTCTTGTGCCCCACTGAGACCCTTAGGAGCTGGGTGTTTCTGCCCCACTGAGTCCACCTGTGCCCTTAGACATCCCATAAGATGGCTTTCTGGCAGAAAGTGGACCCAATGAGGTAAATTGATAGCTGCTCCCCTACCTTCCTCAACCCAGGCTGGATACAAGGAGTTAGATCTCAGGGCCTGGGATGCTTGGTGCCTATAACTTCAGCAAGTTCTCATCAGGGTTTGAACCACCATCATGGGGCTTCAAGGCTGTTTTGCCAGATCTGGGGGAAAGGAATGGAGCCTTTGCAAGAAATGTTGGGGAGACCTTGGGCAAGTGACAGCTTTCCCTGGGCCTCAGTTTCCCCATCTGTAAAATGGGGGGGTCTGACTAGATGTCCTTTTAAGTCCCTTCCAGCTCTAGAGCACTTATCTTATGTTCCATCTATCTAGGCTGCCCCATTGTTCCCTGACCTCTTGGTGAATGGTTGCTAAGTCTTTTTCCCTTTCTTACATCATAAGAGATGGTAAAGGGCTCCAGAGCAAAGGGCTGATGATCTTTTGAACCCTGAGGGTCCCATGTGGGGCTGGTAGAGTTGGCAGGGGCTAGAGAAGGAATAGCAAGATGAGGGCAAAGGAGAAGGAAGAAAGAGGGCGGGAGAAAAGGGAGGAGGTCTGTGCCCACATCTGGTCTAAAAGGGAGTGTTCTTAAGGGATTGTTTGATGGCTGGGAGCTGCAGTGGAGTCCTGAGGGCCTAGGAGACAGGAAGGCAGGCCTAGCATCCAAAGGGGGATTCCTGGAGTGGGCAGAGCTCGGAGGTGAGGATGCCCGGTGGTAATGGCTATATCTGTTAAGGGAGCACGGGAAGAGCTAACAGGCAGGACTTGGGAGGCTGGGTTGAGGCCCAGGTGGGCTCATCATTCACAGGCAACAGCTCTTAGAATTGGTCCATTCAACCATGAGCTACTTGGCCTATCCTTGAGAGCATTCCTTGAGCCTCCAGAAGGGCAGGGGTACGGAGGGGGTGGCCAGGCCCCACCCTGCCCCTTCTCTGCTCACTGCTTGAAGGCCGACTGGAGCTCCTTGAAGGCAGCTTTTCTCTGTTTCTGCTCCTCGGCCTGTCGTTTCCGTTCCTCCTGCTCGGCCTTAATCTCCTCCTCGAACTTGCTGGAGACATTGATTGCTTGGACCTAGAAGTGAACAAGGTGGCAAGGGAGTCAGGGTTTGGGCCACCAGGAAAAAAGGAGGGGAAGGTTTGTGGGGACTACCCTGCAGCCTTCCTACCCCCCAAAACCCCTTCCTCTTTGCTCTTTTTATCTCTGTCCTCCTTCCCGTTTTCCAGTTCCTCTTATGGGTTATATTGGAATATAGTTCTGAAGGCACAGACTACCTTGTCTCTTTGTATGTTTCCTCAGCATTTAGCATAGTGCCTAACACATAATAAGCGCTATTCATCCATTCATCTAACTCTGCCTTTATCTACCTAACCTTCTGCCTATCTCTCTCCATTGATCTATTCATTCATCTTTCTGTCTGCTTATTTATCATCTATCTATCTATCTGTCTGTCTATCTATCTTTCTACCTAATCCATTCATCTATCTACCTACTTATCTGTTTGTATGTCTGTCTATCTACCCATCCTTTTATCATCCATCTATCCATCCTTCTGTCTTTCTATCTTTCTCCCTATGTATCTAATTATCTATCTCTCCATCCATCCATCTAGCTATATATCCATCACTGGTTAGTTTCTATCATGTACAGAGGAAAGAACACTACATTTGGAGTCAGAAGGTCAAACCCTGGCTCTGACATTTAACTAACTGTGTAACCTTGGGAGACTGACTTTACTTTCCTGGGCCTTGATTCCCCCATCTGTAAAACAGTAACACTAATATCCCGGTCTGACCATATCACTCACCCTACTCAATAAACTCCAATGTCTTCCCATCACCCCCAGGAGCAAATGCTCTGTTTGGCCTTCAAAGCCCTTCCTAACTGAGCCCCCTCCCACCTTTCCAGTCTTTTTCCACCTTACTCCCCAACATATACTCTGAGATCCAGCAGCACTGGCCTCTTTGCTCTTCATCAAATGAGACGTTCTATCTCTTGGTTCCAGGCATTTTCTCTGCCTGTCCCCCATGCCTGGAATGCTCTCCCTCCTCATCTCTGCCCCCCAGTTTCCCTACAAGTCCCAGATAAATCCCCACCTTCTACAAGAAGTCTTTCCCAACCCCTCTTTTGGCACCTTCCTTCTTCTATTTCCTATTAATTTCTTGTTTCACCAATTAGATTGTAAGCTCCTCGAGGGCAGGGGCTGTCTTTTGCCTTTCTTTGTATCCTCAGTGCCTAGTACAGTGCCTGGCACATAGATGTTTACTGACTGACGCACTTACACTGCCTAAGTCACAGGGCTGTGTGAGAAAGTGCTTTATAAACCTTATATGGATGCCCTCTGGGCATATGGTGGCACGCGTCAGCCAACAGTTTGCTCTCACCTCTCTCCCATCAACCCTTTTGGAAGGCTTTAAACCCGATCCTCATGAATGAGAGCAGGGGGGATGCCTGCTTTTTTCTGCCTGGTACTGTTACTCTGTAACTAAGATTCGTGCTCTATACTAATCTCCCACGGGATTTCAAACCCCCAAGGCTTGGTCCAGACTTCTCCAAATGTAGCATTAGGTCATTCAAGATGACAAAACTTAGACCTTCCCACCTACGTCACCCCGAGGTATCTGTGGTGGGAGAATATGGTTTTGAACAGTCCCCTGCAGGTTCCTAATGTCTACAGTTCTTTAGAGTCTGCAAAACACTTTCCTCATCACAGCCCTGGGAGACAGGGAGTGGAATGCTATCACACCCATTTACAAATGGGGAAAACCTGAGACCTGGCAAGGAAATGACTTGACTAGGGTCCCACAGCTCATCAGTGTCAGAGTTGGGAATCCAATCCTGGGCTTCTGACTCCAGAGTTCAGTGGTCTCTCCACCAGACCATACTGCCTTCTATTGTAGTTCTTACCCCTGGAAAGGACTCCTCCTTTTATAGAGGAGGAAACTGAGGGAAGGCAGCTTTGAGGGAAGGTAGGACTTTCTAAAGGTCTTAAAATTAGCAAATCATAGAGCCATGATTCAGACTCAGGGGCCCTGATTCCAAAGAAAGTCCTTCTTCCAGGACAGTGTGTGGGGAACAGGACTCAGCCAGAGGTGATGCAAGTAGAAAAATTGGGAAAGGAATTCATTTAGTTGTGATGGAAGCCAAGGGAGAAGAGAGGGGAAGAGGTGAAAGAGAGGGTGGATGGTTTGCCATTGTGGGCCTAAAGTTAGGGGCTTTTAGTGGCCTCTACCTCATGGCAGAATCTGGTTCTGATGCCTCAGTGGAGAAGGAGGCAGCAAAACCAGGGGAGAAAACTCCAGAGGCCACAGCGCCATGAAGGAAGCCACCACAGCTCCGCTGGGGGCACCTAGCTTTGCAAACCCTTCTGTTTTCCTTACTTTGGCCTCAAAAAAGTTCTTGGCTCCTTTAACGCCTTCCGTTGAGACATCAATTTCGGAGCGCTGGGCCAGAACATGAAGTCCGCTGTCCTCCTGCAGCTCCCCTGCTGCTGACTTCCGGAAAATCAGGAGGAACTGTGAGGAAAGAAGAATGCTCAGGCTGTGGGGAAGCCTCGGGTCCTGGGGATGTGGCCCCCGCCCACAGCTCACCCTCTTCAGCTTAGGGATTCTCAAACAGAGAAAAACCATTATGTCTGAAGGTTAGACTCCTTGGAGTCTGAATCTCCCTCAAGGGAGAAAGACAGCTCCCTAGACATGACCTCCTCAGACCGGGCCTGAGCCCTGCTTGGCCACTAACTTAGCTATGTTGACTCTGAACATGTCATTGCTCTCCAGACCTCAGTTTCCATTCTCATAAAATGAGAGGGCAAGACTGTATCTTTTGGCTTTGACATTCTCTGTCCTAAGGTCTCTCCCATTCTAAGGTCCCTCCTAGCTCTGACAATCCGTGTTCTAAGGGCCCTCCCAGCTGACTTCTGTGTTCTAAGGGCCCTCTAAGCTCTGACATTCCTTGTTCTAGGGGCCTTCTTAGCTCTGACATCCTGTGTTATTAGAGCCTTCCCAGCTCTGACACTCCTTATTCTAAGGGCCCTCCCAGCTCTGACATTCTCTGTTCTAAGGGCCCTCTGAGCACTGACATTCAGTGTTCCAAGGCTCCTCCCAGCTCTGACATTCCTTGTTGTAAGGGCCCTCTGAGCTCTGACATTCAGTGTTCCAAGGCTCCTCCCAGCTCTGACATTCTGTGTTCTAAGGGCCCTCTGAGCTCTGACATTCAGTGTTCCAAGGCTCCTCCCAGCTCTGACATTCCTTGTTGTAAGGGCCCTCTAGCTCTGACATTCAGTGTTCCAAGGCTCCTCCCAGCTCTGACATTCTGTGTTCTAAGGGCCCTCTGAGCTCTGACATTCAGTGTTCCAAGGCTCCTCCCAGCTCTGACATTCCCTGTTCTAGGGGCTTGGGTCATAGATCTAGAGCCAGAAGAGATGTCAGAAGCCTTCTGTCCCAACCTCCTCATATTACACAGGAGAACTCTGAGGCCCAGAGAAGTTAACTAGCTTAACCTCCACAGGGTCACATAGCAAAGTGTGTGAGGTGGGATTTCAACCCAAGTCTCCTCCACATTTAGCACTGTATTTACTACACACACAAGGTCACCATTTAGTCTAATACCATCACTTTGCAGATAAGGAAACTGAGTCACAGAGAAGCACAAGGATTTACCCAACATCATATTGCTAGCAAATGACCAAGGCAAGATCCGAATGCAGGTCCTGAGACTCCCCAGCCAGGGCTCTTTCCACTGTCCTATGATGCCAGCCTCATTTACATCCGCTATATCTCTACCCTACTTCTCAGCCCCCAAACTCAATAGTATGTAAGTGCTTTGTTTTTATAGCCCTGGCACAAATCCCCCTACAAGCAGCAGGCCCTTCACAAGTGTTTATTTAATTTAACTGGAAGAACTATTCTCATGTATCTGAGTCTTGTCTCCCCACATAAGACTGTAAGAAACAAGGTCAGGGATGGTGTTTTACATATCTCTATACTCTCCCACAGTGCCCAGGGTTGGGCACATAGTAGGTGCTCAGTAAATACTTGTTGAATGAATGAATGAAACACCTAACTGCCTATGTCTGGACATTGCATCCTATGTAGAGGGAGAATATTAAAATTCTGATTTAGCAGATCACCCCAACTGTACAAGCTTACCACTTACTAGGAGGTTTACGATCTAATCAAAGAACCTAAAGACATTCCTCAACCTGTATGGAGCCTACGGAGTCAGCTAATTTATCAGTCCATTTTATTGGTGAGCAAACTGAGGCCAAGGGTTATAGGTCCCTTCTCCCATAGTTTCATTATGTGACCTATACTTTTGGTGAACCCAGGCTAGGATCGTGATGCCAATTGGGCAGAGGCCCAGGCACTGTGAGATGCCCCCTAAGTCTTGATTTTGAAAGTGGGCTCTGCTCTTCCACCATTCCCTTCTATATCTCCCATGCCCAGGGCCACCATCAGTGGTGATAGCAGACGCAACTCTCTGCCCACTCTACCTCCCGGAAGCTCAATTTGTTGTCAAGATCTTCATCTACTTCTTTAATCATGTTTTTCAGACCGAGGTGCGTCTGAGGAGCTTCGAGCTTCTCCATCATGAGCTTCAGTTCCATCAGGTCGATGAAGCCATCTCGGCCAGCGTCATACCTGGGGGGGTGAGAACAGCAGAGGAAGAGTGAGAACAACTGGGGGTCCCCATCCAACCCAAACTCCATTAGCTAATTTTCTTACTAGGTGCTAGTCTGCTAATCGCATGACCTACAGGGATTAGGTAAAACATTGGAGACAATTATATTCACCCTGAACAATTACTCATCCAAAAAACTACTGAGTATCAGAGCTGAGAGGACCCTTAGAACAGAGCATGTCAGAGCTGGGAGGGGCCTTAGAACACAGAATGTCAGAGCTGGGAGGGGCCTTAGGACAGAGAATGTCAGAGCTGGGAAGAGCTTTAGAACATAAATGTCAGGGATGAAAGGCCTTCAGGATACAGAGTGTCAGAGCTAGGAGGGATCTTAGAACACAGAATGTCAGAGCTGTGAGGGCCCTTAGAACATACAACTTCAGAGGGAGAATAGGATGTCACAGCTGGGAGGAATCATAGAACAGACTGTCAAAACATTAGAACATAGAATAAATAGAGGTTGGAGGTACCTTAGAACATGGAATATCAGAGCTAGAAAGTGCCTTAGAAGAACCGAGAATACCAGAACTGAAAAAGACCCGAGAACGCAGAATTGAGAACATAGTGTCAGAGTTAGAAGGAATTTGGAGATCATCAAATCCAATCTCCTCATTTTATAGACAAGTAAACAGAGGTCTAGCACTTGACAAGTAATTTTCCTGAGGACAACTCAGGTCTTCTGACAGTGAGCCCAGCTTCCATGACAATCCACAGTCTCTAAGCTTAGGAGACAAGAGAACTGCCTTCGAACACAAGAGGGGAGGGACAGTTTATGAGGAATAGAGATAATGATCCTGGTGAGCCTGGCATTTTAGACACACCCACTCTATCTCCTTTCCCAGGATTCTCAGCAATTGCCTCACAAGGCCCATTTCCAGTACAATTCCCACACTTCTACACGGCCCTGCTTTCTAGCCTTTGCCTCTTCCTTGATGGAAATATGATACTGTTAGAAAGAAGCTGCCTTCCTCTTGAGAATGTAAGCTCCTTGAAGGCAGGGGCTGTTCTCTTTCTGTCTTTGTATCCCTAGTATCCAGCTGGGTGCCTGGCACATAGTGGGGATACAATAAAAGGCCTAGTGGACTGTTTAACTAAAATGACCGTTGTCGGTTTTCTGCAGATTAATTCTTCCTTTTTACAGAAATATAATTCTCTCTGTAGACTAACTCCTCCCTCTTCCATTCTGTACTACAGCTGCTTTGCAGAAGCTAGTCTCTGTGCTCTGGAAGGGAAGGAGTATTTAGGGCACTCTCAGCTCGTTATCTCCCAAAAGGCTTTTGGGAAACAGACACTGCTCACAAGAGGCCTCTCTCCCTGGTTTCCATGACCCTTCCCTGCAGCTGTGGTGGGGTTATAAGCAGGGGCCACCAAGGGTACATCACACAGTGGGTGGGGACACAGGCTTGCTACGATGTACACAGCCTCCTGCTTATCAGTCAGGCAAACCCCTCCCAGGCTAGGGCTGGGCATCAAACAACAGCTGCTGTTCTGGAAAAGCCTGGGGGCTTCAGCAAGGGGACCCTTCCAGGCCTGGGAAGATAGGACACTTTGGACACTTGCTGCTATAGATAGGGTGCTGACAGCTGGAGTAGCCCAACAGTTATAGAGCTAAGGACATAGGATGTTAGAGCTGGGAGGGCCCTTAGAGCACAGAATGTCAGAGATGGGAGGGCCCTTAGAACAGAGAGTGTCAGAGCTGGGAGGACCCTTGGAACACAGAATGTCAGAGCTAGGAGGGCCCTTAGAACAGAGAGTGTCAGAGCTGGGAGGACCCTTGGAACACAGAATGTCAGAGCTAGGAGGGCCCTTAGAACAGAGAATGTCAGAGCTGGGAGGGCCCTTAGAACACAGAATGTCAGGGTAAGGAGGGGCCTAAAAGACCATCTAGACCAATACACCTACATGGTACAGAGGAGGAATGAGGTTCATGGAGGCTGAAGGAACTGACCCAAGGAGCAGCTGATTTTATTCCTGGACACCCGGCCTTCTGTCTGCTGAGTAATTTCCTGGGTGAGCTATTTGGAGAGAGTCGGGTAGGAATGTGGGCATGGTGCCAACTTGTTGTAAATCAGCCACTCCCTTGAACTTTCTCTAACTGTGCCTCCATTTGGCTGACAGCAAGCATGTGTCAGAGAAAGAACACTGGATTCAGAAACAGGGACCTGGGTTTGAATCTTGATTCGGCTTCCTGCCACCTGGGTGTTCCTTCTTCCTCTCTGGATGCGTTTCCTCATCTTATAAAATGAAGTTCCTTTTGGCAATAAATGCTATGGAAAGGCGGGGGACAAAGTTTCTGTAAAGTTGATTTCACCTTCCAAACCTGAAGGGGTCTTGGAAAAAGGGAGAGAATCTGTCACTGAAGCAGGGGTATATCTCCAAGGCCTTAGATTATACGGAGAGGAGGGAGACAGAGAAAGGGCTCCTTCAGGGGGCCCCCAGGCCTACAAGGGAGTGGGCGATAGTTGCTGCTGAGAAAGCAAAGTGTGACCACATCTGTCTATGAGCAGATCTGCTGGTGGAGGGACAGGAGAGAGGATGTGGTCAAGGGTGCTGGACTTAGGCTGGTCAGAAAACCAGAAGTTTTGAGGTCTATTCCCCATCTGCCTCTCAGTTTCCCCAGAAGCCTCTGTTCAGAAGAGGAAATACCAGAAATAACTAAACTACTGGAGGAGGCACTCTGGTAAGAATGAAGGGCAGAGCTGGGCAACCTTGGGCAAATCATATGACCTCTTAGAGCCTCAGTTTCCTCATCTGTAAAATGAGGGGACTAGATTAGATGATGTGCCACATACCTTCTAATTCTATATTTGATGGGCTTCAAGAACTCTCTCAAGCCATTCCTCTGCCTCAGTGAAGGACAATTCTGAAACCACCCAGTCCACTGGCTATTTATCTTTAAACACTCTCAGGGATGGCAAGACAAACCAGGGGAGTGAGACTAGATGATCTCTAAAACCAAGCTGATATTCTCATCTCTACAGTCCCTTCTTGTCCTAGAATTCTTTGTTCTAGTTCCCTCCCAGCTCTGACATTCTGGGTTCTAAGGGCCCTCTCAGCTCTGACATCCTGGGTTCTAAGACCCCTCTCAGCTTTGACATTCTGTATTCTAAGACCCCTCCCAGCTCTGACATGCTGTGTTCTAAGGGCCTTCCCAGTTCTGACATCCAGTGTTCTAAGTTCACTTTAAGTACTAATTGGAGGTGGGGGAAGGAGGAGGGAATGAGCATTTATATTGTGCCTACTATGTGCCAGGCATTGTGCTAAGTATTTTACAAATATTATCTCTGTATTAATGTTCTGTGATTCTATGATGCCAGGACCACAAGAACTCCATTTCATTAGCTGCTCTGGAGCAGGGCCCACAGTGGAGGGAATGTGGGCCACCTGGATCATTGGCGTCTCTGCAGCAGTTCTCTTGCCAGGGCAGGCCTTAAGCAGCTCAAAGTCAATAAGTTTCCAATCAATTACTCTATGGTTGCGTTCTAGGGCCCCTAGGGCCCTGCCCACAGGGCAATGGCCTGATAGATGGGATTAGAGAACCGAATGTCTTGGAGGTGGCCACAGATGGGTCAGTCATGCCAACAGCAGGGGCTGCCAGCAGAATTGATCTTTTATGTGCCTGAAAACCATGAGATAGTGAGGGAGGCTAGGCCTTCAGGGCCCAACAGAGCTAAAAGTAGCACAGGTGTTTATGGCCAGCCAATGTCAGAAGGCCATGGCTTGTCTTTGTACCTGTTTTGTTTATAGCTCAATGCTTTGCACTTAGTAGGTACTCAAGAATTGTTAGGAAGCAGGCCAGAGAGCCTCTAAGGGAGGCAGTGAAGAGTATACAGGAGTCAGAGGACCTAGGCTGAGATCCTCACTCTGCCAATGACTACCTAGGCAACTGATGTGACTTCTGGTCCGCATTTTGTCAGTAAAACAAGGAGGTTCAATTAGGTGATCTAAGGCCCCCTCTGGCTTTAAAATCTGTGATCCTACCATCTGGGTCATACAGTTTGGACCTTGGTTTGAGTCCTGAATCTAACACTAGCTAGGTGACTATGTAAGTTACTGCCTCAAGCCTCTCATCTGTAAAATGGGGAAAATACTATGTAACTCACAGGGTGATTGTAAGGGACAACAGAATATCAACTCCTTTCAGAGAGCAACTGTTTCACTTTTATCTTTCTGCGCTCAGTGCCTATGATGCCCAGACTGAGTAGGTACTTAATATCTGCTGAATGAACTGAAAGGGCTGAGTAAAAACTTTAAGCACTATAGAAATGTGAAGTGTGAGTTGTTCACCACCAGAAGAGATTGCCTGTTCTCATCAGCCCCAGGCAGTGGGAGAGAGGGCTGACTCTGGAGTCAGGAAGACTCATCTTCCTGAGTTCAAATCCAGCCTCAGACACTAACTAGCTATGTAACCCTGGGCAAGTCACTTCACCTTGTTTGCCTCAGTTTCCTCATTTGTAAAATGAGCTCGAGAAGGAAATAGCAAACTACTCCAGTATCTTTGCCAAGAAAAACCCAAATGGGGTCACCAAGAGTCAGACACAACTGAAAACAAGTGAACAATAAAAACTGGTATGTTGTGAGTTCATGGTGGAGCAAATCACCTTGAGTTAGGGCGAGACTCCCCTGAGATCTGTGAGGTCTGTGTCCAGGGTAACCTGGAGGAGACTTGGATCTATCTCAGGCAGAAGGAGCCAAGAGCAGGGGTCTGAGCCTGAGGACACTCCACTTAAGGTCTGGCCTGTGATTGGTCAGAGGCCCCTGGCAGCCAATGACCCCTCTTCTCTGGGCTCCTTAGGCTCTCATTTCCATTCCCTCAGTTCAATCCAGTGCCTGCTGCTGGATAAGCAAGAGCTCCCTCCCAGCCCTCTGCGTCTCCACTCAGCAGGATGACTTCTGCCAGCCCAACGTCAGCAGGGAGCAATTCTGAAGGCAGGAATACAGCTGGCAACGCGACAAGCCATCT